ATAATATTGAACATTCAAAGAACAAGTACACAAATATTTACAACATTTCAGTTCTCATGAAATATTAATATATAATATGGAAGTTATTTTAAACCACAATCATTTTTTTTTTAAAGTAATAAAAATCGTTGTAAGAATATCTTAAAATGTAAAGTATATTTTTCAAAATTATTTCGAAAAGTTTTTTAGTGCTTTAGTTATTTTGATCAAAAATATTTCCTGTTTTTTTCCGTGTCCTTTCTTCCTACTTATTTTTTGTTGTGGGTTACGCTTTTAGGGTTAAGCAGGTGCTTTATAAACCAAGCATCCAGGTGGGTGGCCTCTAACGGTAAATAAGGACAAATACCACGTAATGGGCAACCTGTGCGTGGCTGAAGCCCCATCAAGAAAAACTAGAGGGACAGAATCCCTTTACTCCCGATCTGGGAAAGATGTAGGAGAAGGACGGTGGTAGGCTGTAAAATTTTCACCTTTAAATGTGTCCCCTAAGCGCAATCAAAAGATCCTTGTCAGTCACATTTGTTTTGTTTTTTGGAGGTGAAGATGGGAACTTGTCGCCTTGGCATTGCTTCCATATTCATAATTACTTAAGCGGCGTGGCGATGTCAAGTCTGCCGACATCTTTAGTGGGTCGTGAAATATTTATTAAGTGGCCAAAGTGGAGTGGAGTTCTGAAATACTTTTCTCATAAATTTAACGCTATTGCCTTGTCTTAGATTTTGGATTCCGCACAAAGTTCTTATGGCTTATTAAAGCCGAAAGTTTTTGATAGTTTGGGCTATGGTGAAAGCTTGTTTTTAGTTTTTAGGAGGCGATTAGCTTGTCTGTTAAACTTTATAAATTAAATAAAGCTTTAAAGTTTTTAATTGCACAAATGTACACTCAAAATAAATTTAACCCTAAATTTTAGAAAATCGCCATTAAAATTTCTTTTTTCTAAATACAAGAAAGTTATTTCTAAATCTAAGGAAATTTTTCTTAAGTCAAGAAAGTTTTCCTTAAATCCAGGAAGTTTTTCTTAAATGTAGAAAATGGTTACCATGAACTAAAATCACCCTAAAATCTAGAAAAAATGCCCTTAAAATTAGAAATTATTTTCTGAAAAATAGAAAGGCAAACGAAAATAATAAAATATTTTGGCAACACCTTTTCTAAAAATTAGTGCCCTAACCCTAAAATGAAACCAACCCTAAATAATAGAAACATTTTCTAAAAAGTAGAAATTTTTTCTAAAAAATAGAAATATTTGTTTTCACATGCTCTGGCACACCAAAATGTTCAATGCCAGAACTTGTCAGCTGCCGGCCGGCTGTACTCGTGGCGCAGACCGTTAAAGCACTTGGTTAGCAATCGAATCGACGCGGGTTCGAGTCCCAGAGCAAAATTTTTTAACCTTTTTTTTATGTTATTTTATTTTTTATTTTTTTATTTTATTTTCTTTTCTTTTTATTTATTTTTTTACTTTTTTTATTCCTTTTTTTATTGATGCCAAGCGGTAAACTAAAAATAATTAGGTTTATATTCAGCTATTTACTATATACTACACATAATATAAATTGCGTTAGCATAAATATATACATATGTATATACGTATGTAAATAAGTAAAACGCGAATGGTCAAAATTATGCAATTAGTATTCAAATGTGTTGTCCGCTTCACCCTTTACATACAATGCTCGGTTTGCCACAGCAAATTTAAGTGCTACAATGGCCCAGTAAGTAGGCCGTTCGCTCCTCGCGCGGGAGACCCGGGTTCGATTCTCACCGACGGACAAGTAAAAATGTAAGTTTTTTTCATGAAGATAAAATATTAACTAATCATAATTTCTACATTCCCAATCTTCCGCAGTCCCGTAGTCTACATTTACAACCACATTTGGCTTTGGTTAGATACGAAATCCAAGCGCAAATACATAATAATATAAATACATAACCTTTAACATTCACAATATACATGACACACAACGCCTGCATATGTATATAGGGAGGAGTACATAATATAAACGTATATACAAAAAAAAATCATGATTGAACATGTTTTTTGCTTTGTTTTTAATTTCTATTTTTTAGGAAAATTTCCTAATTTTTAGAAATTTTTGCCCTTAAATTTAGTAAAATTACCCTAAAATTTAGAAATATGACGTCAAAAAAAATCAAAAATATAGAAAAATGTGACCCTAAAATTTAGGGCGAGCTTGTCTTGAAGACAAAAGTAGGGCGATTTCCTTGACTTTAGGGTTAATTTTATTTTGAGTGTAATTAGTTTACGGCTGGAGTTTGAAGGTATTTGAAGTTTGAAGAGTTAAGCATAAGCAATATGAATGAGATTAATATTATTCAGGTTTTTATTTAAAATTGTATGACTTAAGATATAAAGTGAAATATTTAATAACAGATTTATATACCTTCTTAAAAGCATTGGCAATTTTTGTGTCAAATAGTTTTTGCTTCGTAAAGAATTTTTTTTGAAAAATAATAAATTGCTTGTATTATAGTTGAATATTTAGTCAATACAAATATTTAAAAAAATTTTTAGTCCATTTTGAGCTATAAAAAAATAGGTTAAAATAGGTTAGGTTAAAAGATATTAATACTCGCGTTTACGTTTCGCACATTTAAACCTGATATCCCCATAAATTCAAAATATACCCGGTACCTACTACTCAAATATCAACTATAACTCACCACAAAGCAAATATGAATTGCCTTACATAATCCACACCAGCACAACGGTACCAAGAGCTAAGGCCACCGAAATCACATAATTCATACATAACATACCTATAGGACACACATGAGCACACGGGAAAGACAAACAGAAAACATGGAGAAACTAGAGGAAAAGCCCGGCCGACATATTGAAATTCATAACTACATACAGAAACCAATTACAATATCAATTTAAAAGGGATTAAAATGGCCCGGCCCGAGGCTTAAGCGGCTCCTGACGCCACTCGCCTCCCAAAAACTGCCACTCCTGTCGGCCATGGTCAAAATACGGCACACTTTGCGGCGTATTTAAGATTTGTTCCCTTGTAAAATTTGTGAAATTGCAAATTGTATTTGCCTGAGCCTGAGCCCAAGCCGTGGAGGACCCCAAGCCATGAACCCAAAAACTTTTAAATGAAATTCTGAGCTAGCAGATTTTCATAATAAATAACGGGTCTTACACGAGCATAATCAGGCATAATGCCATTGTGTAATGTCAAAATGTAGGCTTTGTATTGACTCAAACCGGTATGAAATTCTCAACAAGTGGCCATCTTTCTGCCGACTCGGTGTTTATTTTAGCATAATTTATCTTGTTTGCTTGTTAAATCAAAAATGTTCTGCACAAAAGACCGCAGTATTGACGCCAGGCATTGCTCCATCCAGGCCAAGATGCAATTTGGCTAAGTAAAGATGCAGATAGAGTGCAGTCAGATGATGGTGTGCAAATAAACTAAAAACGTTAAAGCAGCTCGAAAATACATATTAAATTAAAACGCTCGACTAAGCGATTTAATTTGGAAAGTGGCAAAAAGCTGGCCCAATCTTTCATCGTCCTAGGATCATCGCTTCCTGCTCCGTCTTGTCTTCGCCCATTCATCGATTCGTCCATCCATCATGTCTATCAATGCCTGGGTCTTAGCCATGAGATAGATAAATCAGTTAAGCATCGTCATGTCAAGTTAACAGGCGATTACAAGGGCTTTACCTGACCAGAAACGTGGATGAAGACCATTGCAAAGGTCAGCAGGGTTCAAGGGGAGATTTTGGTAAAAAGGATTCACTCAAGAGTCCTCTATTTTGCTTTTAATTGCATGGGGATTTTTAATTAAAATATTTTTTAAATTTTTACTAAAAATGCAAGAATGTATAAAACATTACACAATTTAAAAATTTGTAATAGGTTTTTTTTTAAATTTTATTTAAAGCAGTTTCTGTATAAAAAGGTTATAAATTTGTTAAAATATATTTTCTTACTTAAATTAGGCAAACAACTTTTAGACATTCAAAGAAACGAATATTAAAAATATATATTAATTTTAATTATCTTTAGTAGAAGCTCTAATTAAGATCAAATTATCCTAAATGATTTTAATATCTTACTATTTCACACCTACCTAATTTTAGTAAAATTAGCATACTAATTACGAGTTCACAAATTCTCCCATTTACATAGCATTAGTTAAATCGCTGACAATTTACTTCCAAAAACCACTATTTATGTACTCTCGTGAAGAAAATCTTTAAGTCCCAATTAACTTAAGCAGATTTCGGTAACCAGAAGCGAGACCAATGCATCAAATTAACTGGCGATTACAAAGGGCTTTCGACGCGTATCCGACCGACATATACACATTCTCGGATATACGATAACCAATCGAGTGGAGGCGACGCAACAAGCAAATGACAATTGAAAGGATAACAAGAAGGAGGAGTAGGAAAGACTGAGGCCCGTAGACCTCAGCTTGTTGATAAAAGAAATTAAGCAGACAACGTATAAAAAAAGGAAAAACACAGAAATAAAGGAAAGTTAAGCCCGCAAGACAATTGACAATGGGTGGGCTTTTTTTCTGGACCTGAGAATGGTTAAAAGGGGGTCTTTCTGGCTGGGGATCTGCGGCATTTGTCTCGACTGTCTCGTTGACATGACGTTGCGCGAATTGTGGGCCAGGATTGTTGTGCGTTCTGTGTTCTGTGTTTTCGGTCTGCCAGCGAAGTGAGCAACACGCGCCGATGATTATGTTGCCGCTGACAACGACAACAACGAAAACAACTAAAGGAACAGCGTCAACACAAGAAACACCAGCAACATCAGCAACAGCAACACCAGCAGCATTAGCAACAGACTTCTCCGAAAAACGAAGCCATTTTCGGACTCCAGTTGGCGGCAAATGTTCTGTGGCACGAAGCTTTTCATTGACTAAAAGTGACGCATGCGCCGTTTGCCGGCCAACTTAGACTCCGATTTAATTTCAGTCCTCCGTCCTCAGTTTCAGTTCGTATTTGTCACTCGTGCGTGCTGGACGGCACACGCGGCGTATGAGTAATATTACTTGGTTGCCCTAAGACTGTTTTATTGGATTTTGGCGCAAGAAGAAGGCCAGAAAAGCCGGCTAAAGTGTCCCTCGCGGGTGTGTGTGCGTGTGTTGCCGGAAATACTTTGAGCAATCGAAACGCAAGAAAGAAAGAACGAAACCCAAAGCGAAACAAAAGCCTAAGCAAATTAACTTGGCCCATTCGTTATATTGCGAGTATTGTTCTAGTGGTTATTATGTTTGGTTTTTTGCCCAGCCCCCCTGCCAGCACGAAAGTAGGTTAATTGACGTGTGCTGTGGGCGTATCTACAAGGGAAATAATAAAAAAAACCTACCTACAAGTATAAAAACAAGTGAAGTGGTCAATTGCCACAGCCAGAGGCCTCTGAACCCTCTCGATAAAATAAGAGTGTGAGCGCGAAAGTCAGGCTTATTTAAGGTATGTCAGATATTTCACTTTATTATATGCACACACTATTGTCTTTAATACAATTCTGAAAATCTGGGTTTAATCAACACTGACCGCAGTGCTAATGGGTTCATTTTGATGTTTATTGCATTGGCTCGAAAAAATTTACATAATTTCCAACAAAAGCGTTTCGAGGCATTAGCAAATATCTATTATTTTTAGATGAATGCATTTTATTCTGATAATTTGTTTTTCTGTTGGCTAATTTTAATTAGTTTTGGATATGAGCGAACAAAATGCAAATTGTGAGTCAATGAATTGTCCATTATGTGCATCGATTAAAAGGTGTTATGGTGTTATAAACGGAGTTAAGTGCCATTACGAAAATGGTTTTGGATGTATATTACTTTTAAATTAGTCATTAGTTTTTATTTATTTTAGTTAGGTCCTTTTCCTTATGATCATTTTAGTAGTTTTAGATTTTCAAATACTTTTTTATTGCATTTTAATTTTAATAATAACTATGAGCCAATTAAAATATTTGATTGTTTTAAAAATAAAGTGTATCTATCCTAATTACCCTTCTGAAATAAATAAAGTTTTCAAAAATTGTCGCATTGACACTGCGGCAAACACAAAAAAAGGACAATAAAGCACAATTGGGAATTCCATTGCATAACCAGAAATAAACATATGCAAAATAAACTTCAAACAAATGTCGCCGCCCAGAGTTTTGGGCCATCAAAACCAACACAGAAAAAAGGATAAAAAACCGAAAAAAAAATTAAAATAAACAAAGTGAGCAACGTGGGGAAGTGGCTTCATGGGTCGGTTGCGTTTCGGTGCCTTAAAGGCAACTTTGTTGCACAAATTTATTAATTTTTTCCGCAGAGTGTGTGTGTGGGGTGTGTCAAATTTAAAAGCATTCTTTGTCGGTTGCCTTTGCACGGGCGATGTCCTGGCAGCTGCCTCTTTGTTTTATTATTTTGCGGAAGCTGCGAACCAACATTTATAAAAAGGTTTTCCTTGCTCGTCCTGCTACGTGAGCCACACACACACCCACAACAAACACAGACGCACATTGCTCTGCATTACCGTTATTTTATGACGGAAGTACATTTAAGCAGATTTTTTCTCCCAGAACTCCCACTCCCTTCAACCGAACTGGAAAAAAGGGCTGCCAAAAAAAATAAATAAAATGGGAGACCGAGGAAATTTAAATATTTTCTTTTACGCTGTGCTTTTCATTTGCCCGTCTCGCTAAAATTTATGACCAACAAAATTGGAATGTGCCCCAAAACAACAGCGGCAACAATAAAGCCAAAACAGAGTTCACTTCGATTGCCATAAAAAATAAAAACAAATTCGTAGGGACTTTAAACCAACGCCTTCGATGAAAAATATAAATCGAGGGCTTACATATATAGATATATACTACATAAAGTAAAGTAACTAAAAAAATATTTTGCAATATTCCCTTTATGTAATCTTATTTTTAGAAAACTCGTTTTTATTATTTGGTGTGCGCGGAAAAGCAAATTTTGATTTTTATTATTTAACTAAAGCATTGCAATAAATATCAAAAGTTAACTAAAAGAATTAAATTGAATAAAAAGTGTCTGGACTTATAATTATTATTTTTTGATCGGATATTTTTTCTAGTTTCACTCAAAAGAAGTACGATACCATATTCCTTTTAAATTCGCTCCCCGTTATCTCGTAACCACATATTTCATTAATTGAAATTTAATACAATTACCAGGCGAATGTGTGGAAAGCCAAGTAAAAGTCAGCAGCCAAAACACACATAAATTCAAGCCATACACACATTCACTGTCAGGGGGGCGAGAGAGATTCCTTGCCAAGTAAGTGACTCAATAAATAAATTTACTTGCCAACTTTTTGCCTCGTTGTTGCGGCCTTGGGGGACTGATTGTTGCTTTCTCAAGGTAGATTTGTGTCGGCAAGCTCTCTCCGGCGAAAGATCTGAGAAATACTGGTGCCGTAATAAACAACACTTGATCGAGGGCGGGGGCATAAAGTTAAGTGTGCTTTACTGGGGCGAGCGAAATAAATTTCAAGAATTTAACTAGATAAATGAGAGTAAGCGGAGACTTGTTCCGCAGGCCTTACAGTTCTTAAACAAAGATATTGTAGTAAATTATATGAAGTTTTTAAATCCCTACCCTGCAAAAATTGTTTAAGAATATTAAATATTTTTCTGAAATATATTTAAATTCTATAGCTACAAGTAAATAATTCAGCCAATTAAAAAATCTTAAGAAATAATAGATTTTTATAAGGAAACTTTTATGAACATTTTATTCACTTATAATCCATTTTCAATTTAGTTTCCTGACATTCCACTTATTTTCATGAGCCACTTCAAGCAGTGACTTATTTCACGCTATGCATTATGATCTAATCTAAGCGAGGGTCGTAAAACAGAATCCTCAAGAATGCGAACTTGAATTTGCACAGCATTAGCAAGGACTGGGGGGAAAACCGAAAAAAAAAGAAAACGTAGCTCGGGCATTTATTAGGTAAGTGAGCTATTCAAAATCAAAGCAGCGGAAAAATCCGCGACGCCGAGGGCAGTGAATGGTAGTGTGGCTGAATGTGTCGACCGATTGTCAGGCAAATGTCAAGCTCAAGCTGCAGGCGACTTTCAGCTTGTCTCACGTCTCGTGTCGGCCCTTTTCCCGCACCTGCCGCAGATTTTCCCAGCACCAGGCACTTTCACCTGCACCTGCAACAATGTGCAGACATTTATGGCACCAGATGCCGCCGGCAGCAGGCAAATGCCTTGCCATCCTTGAGTGGCATTGCGATGGCATTTCCAAAGCATTTCCGTGGTGCGTTTGCCGGAGCGTTAAAAGCGCATTAGCTTTGTCATTTATCGTTGCATACTATCCGCCATCTTTGTTACCATTTCGAAGGGTCGGAGACAAAGGAGACTTAAAGCGAACACAATCAGAGTTCTGTAACTTAAAGCTAACTTTAGTTTTATTAGATTTGCCCTCGGCTCTTTGTCTCTTGAAATTGTAGGTTCTCTTGTATAGCTAAATGTGTAGGTGGTGTCTAGAGGATTTCATTAAATATTTTGTAGAAAGTTAAGGTAAAAGTTTTCAAAATTAAATATTGCAATTATTAAATTATTAATTATTAATTATTTATTAAATTTAATTAATAAATATATAATATTTTTAAACATTTTTTTATTCGTATTGCATGCAGTTTAATGGTCTAAAAGATGTAGTTCATACTAACATTGAGAGTTAATTGGGAATTAACAATTCTAGAATTCCAAGAAGTTAAATGTAAAGCTTGCTGATTAATTAAATTTCAACAGAAATTGGTTTAAGCTCACGCCCCAGTCTGAGATAAACACGTTTGCATATATTTTCAATATGCATTTGAGGGCGTTTCTTTGTGTCGCTGCTGATGATGATGTGTGCTGGCATATTTTGCCTATCAAAGTGCCACTGACAGACAGGCGACCGAACAGAATAATGTTGATTTTGGGCTCCGCAAAATGTCAAGGTTCCACATGCTTCGTTAGCAGCATTTTCATAATGTATCAAGGCAATTGGCCTGTAGCCTAGCCTTAATTAAAGGCTTGAATTTTCAATTTTCAGGCATTCTAGTGTGTTTTATATGTGGGACAAAGCTCTACCCTTTCGACATTCCACCTGTCGCCCCTTTGTGCATAAAAAGTGTGAACAATTTTATTGTGTGGAAAATTTGCTTGCTCACATGAGACGGCGGGCGGAGCAGAAAAAACTCGTGCATAATTTAAAAATGCCCGCATCACTCATAAGCAGCGTTGCACGCTCCTTGTGGCCAGGATATTCCGGGCCAGGCGGCCAAGGTAACAATGGAAAGGTCGCATTTTCGACGTAGTCGGAGTTTGTCTGCCCCTTTGTTAGCTTTTGCTTTACCCATTTTAGTTTAGTCATTGTTTGTTTTAAACTCTTTTTTTTTCTGTACGCTTACTTAGCTCTTTGGATTGCTGTGGGATTTTCTGTCAATTTTTGGTTTTCAAAAAGTTTTGATATGACTATGAATCATTTTAGCTTGATGAAGTGGATTATTGGCTGGGTAAAAATATTTTAGGTGTACTTATCTTTGGCTTGGATTCAATGATTTTAAATCCGAATTTCTCCATGATAATTTTTCAATACATTTTTTTTAAGCATCCTTTACGGCATAGTTTGGTCAACTAATCCTGCTAAAAATTCTGAAATCCTCTTTTTGGACCAAGCCCAAATCCTTTTCAATTGCCAACGAATCCCCGAGTGCTGCCTGACAATTAAAACGCCCCGAAAAAGGGGATATACGAGTGGTTAGAGAGAACCCCACTTGAATGCAGCTAACCATGAAAGCGCGTTAAAAAAGCATTGCATGCACATGGCCGTTTTGTAGCCCCCAAAAACCCACTGCCCCATCAAATATGCATGTAAAACACCGCACAGCAGGCAGAATGGAGCAGGAGCAGCTCAACAATTTCGCCTGCGGACAAGGTCCGGCAAAAAATCGAGAAAAAATATAAATCTTAAATGCCTTGACATGTGTTCACCGAAAAAAGCTGAAGCTTATAAAAAAATCAAGAAGCGAAAGGTAAACTGAAACTTCAAATACTCTTGCAGATTATGGACCAGCTTAACTTGGCCAAAAAAATGGTATCAATTCAAAGGCATTTAATAGTTTGGTTATGCAGTTGTTGTTGTACAATCATAGATAGGTTGGTAATTATAAATTAAGCAGCTGAGAACAGAACTTCTTCTTCTAAGTTAATACAAATGAAATAATATACTTCTACTTCTCTTATTGTACATTGAATAGTTACCAAAAAGAGATATTCTATTCATATTTAAATTGTTCATTTTGTTTTTATAAAACCCAGTACTTAAATTAAATACTTGATTGAATAATTTTGTGTTTTATAACCATTTTATTATCTTGTTTGGGGTATTTCTATTATAAAATAATTTTAATACTTTTAAATACAATTTTCTCACACTGGAACT